AATACTTTTAGTTTAGCTTTACTTCAGTTACTGAAAAGTTTTTTTTTACCGTTTTAGATAACACTGTTAAGATGACCTGTCTGTTTCGGATCAGGCTGCATTAGGAAAACTCACAGGGCCTTGTTGTTTCTTTGAGTTCTGTTTCTCCAGAGTCTTCCTGTCAAAAGGCTTGCGTACAGTTGTTGTAGGAAGATTATCAGGAAAGAAACTGAAGCTCTGAAGTAAATCCAACACGCGAGTGTGCTCATCTTGGAACAAGGACACCAGATTTCCTTCTGTACCACCCAAACCAGACAGCTAGACAGATGTAAACACATAACATTAAGTTTAAAAGAACTAAGAGGGCCGAAGACCTCACAGGAATGTTACAGAGCATGATAAAGCTATGTCCTCACCTGCAGCAGTGGAGTGAGCTCTCCCAGCGTGAGTGCAATGAAATCTCTCTGGGCCTGGGTGAAGCCCCTTACGCAGCTGGTGAACAGATCTTCGGCTGCGCGGTGGAACTTGGGCAGCTCATCCAGCAGCTGGGCGTTCAGAGCTTCGTAGTTATTTCTCGCCGTCTGCAGTTCCTCCTGCACACGCTTGTCCTTCAGCCTCTCTGCACGCTCCTTACAGTTGTCGTAGTCCAGCAGCTTGTCTCTACGTTTCTGGATTAGTTTGTGGGGACCGGCGAACATACTGAGCAGCTGGGTGAGGGGAGTGATGACTAGGGCTTCTGTCCTCTCCTTCTGCTCAAAGAGAGACATGCAGACATGCATTTAGAAAGATTTGAGACATATTTCATGCCAGTATCATGTGCTTAATTCAAATTAATACTGAATGGTGAAAAAATACAATAAGTGAAATAACTACTAGAAAAACAAAACAAAATGTATGTATGTATGCTGCCCCAATGCCCCAAGACAAAAGAGCCTTTCTCAGTGATATCTGTCTCTCTATTTGGCCCGTTTTGTCATACACCCACTATTCGCTTATTCGCTTAGAAATGCGTTTGAAAACACAATGAACCAATGTTACTAGTGACCACGAAAAATGACTGATTGCTGCTTAAATTGATAGTCCCCCCAAAAATGAAAATTCTGTCATTAATTACTCCCCCTCATGTCGTTTTAAACCCGTAAGAACTTTGTTCATCTTCGGAACACAAATGAAGATATTTTTGATGAAATCCGAGAGCTTTCTGAACCTGCATAGTAAAGATATCATTAAAATAGTCCATATGACATCAGTGGATCAACCGTAATTCAATGAAGCTACGAGAATACCTTTTGTGTGCAAAAAACAAAAATAATGACTTAATTCAACAATTTCTTCTCTTCTGTGTCAGCCTTCGACACGCATTCACGAGAGGTTGATCCACTGATGTCACATGGACTATTTTAACGACGTCCTTACTACCTTTGGGCCTTGAACGTGTCAGTTGCATTGCTGTCTATTAGGGCTGGGCGATATGGGCAAAAATTCATATCTTGGTATTTTTGGGCCAATTTGTGATATACGGTATATATCTCTGTATTTTCGTTTTTGTATTTGGATTAAAAAAAATCTGTATTTAATATATATATTTCACTTACCTCCCAATGTTGTCCAACAAAACAATACATATTAAAGGCTATGAAAACAAAGTTTTAACATAAAGTGAATGTAATCATGTAAGCCTTTATATACACATATTATGAGCAAAAAAGGGTTAAAATCCCATTTCATTCTAACATTGTAACATTGCAATCTAAAAACAAAAATAAGGCTTTTAAAGCGGAAGTTAACTTCACTAAACTAAAAATGAAAATAAATGAGAACAAAAACGGTTTTGATTAGCCCATTACAGTCACTTTACAGGCAGTGCTATCATAAAAATAGACTTACTTGTAGGTTTAAAATTCTACACATCACATTTATTGTCCAACTACAAATATTTCAGAAAAATGTATATTTTAGTCAGAATTATTGTGCTCCTATTTAATTGAGCTGTCCAGTGCTATCATAAAAATAGACTTACTTGTAGGTTTAAAATTCTACACATCACTTTTATTGTCCAACTACAAATATTTCAGAAAAATGTATATTTTAGTCAGAATTATTGTGCTCCTATTTAATTGAGCTGTCTGTTTGGCGTGCATGCGCGCGGCGGCGCGCGTTCACTGAAATCGCAAAAACGGTTTTGATTAGCCCATTACAGTCACTTTACAGGCAGTGCTATCATAAAAATAGACTTACTTGTAGGTTTAAAATTCTACACATCACATTTATTGTCCAACTACAAATATTTCAGAAAAATTTATATTTTAGTCAGAATTATTGTGCTCCTATTTAATTGAGCTGTCTGTTTGGCGTGCATGCGCGCGGCGGCGCTCGTTCACTGAAATCGGTGAAGTTTAGCAGAGAATCCCAAAGCAGAAGGCTCATTCACTTCTGACAGAAAAATGGAAATATTTCCATGGCTTTCTAACATTTACAAATGGAGAATATACCTGTGAAATGTAAGTTATGCATTCAGGTAGACAGCACATCTCAAACACATTAAACAGGGCGAGTAGCCTAGTGTCTCTGTCAGCGGCACATGCAGCCTTTATGTCAGAGCATATGACGGGCCGAGCCGAAATGAAACTATAAACTATGTCTTACCAGTTTTTAAAGGCCTTAATATGAAGCTTGTCACATGTTTAGAACAAATTGGATTATGCACTTTCTCCACAGCAGCTCAGTCTGTGTCCTCCACTATATTTTCAGATGTGCTCATATCAAACTATTGTATATCGATATAAACGGTATTGCCTCATATCGAATCGTTTATAAAAAATATATATATAGATATATCGTACAAACTCGATATACCACCCAGCCCTACTGTCTATACAGGTTCAGAAATCTCTCGGAATTCATCAAAAATATCTTAATTTGTGTTCCCAAGATGAAGGAAGGTCTTACGGGTTTGGAACGACTTGACGGTGAGTAATTAATGACAGAATTTTCATTTTTGGGTGAACTATCCCTTTAATAAGTTTTTTACTATGAAAGATAATGTGAGGTTATATTGGTACTCACAAACTCTGTGAACTGATTGTCGCTGATGCATCGATGCGCTCTTTGAAAACGTTCAGGGTCCATATGCTGTTGCCGTTCTGTGTAGATGTCACAGAAACTGATGGCGGACAGAACTTTTACTGAGGCTGACTCCTATTGGATTTAAAAAGGGGTCAGGCAAAATTACTTTCTATATATCTATTGAATCGAAATATGGGAAGATGAATGAAGAACGTGTTCAGAGATCGTTTCAATACCCTTATATGCTGCAGATAGAGGGAGATGTCCCTGATGAAGGATTTGATGAGTCGCTCCTGGAGTCTGAATCTTTTCTCTGCTTCATCAAAAGCTTCATCTTTGATCTAAGAAGGAACGAAGAGTAGTTTGGTTAACACCTATTCTCAACTGAATCTCTAAAGTCTAGAAATGATGGTGTCATTAACAGCAGTGTCAATGTACCTGAGGTGAGATCCCAGTCAGGTGCTTTAAATGGCTGCTCACTCTGTTAGACTTCTTGATGATGGAGTGCATACTCAGCTTTGAGATCTTGTCAATAAGTCTGTCTTCATCGCCTTTGCGGTACTTCACCACTGTAGACAACAGATGGTGGTGCTGAGTTATGGATCACACTCACAGCCAGATAGCAGACATCCCATCCCACAGACAGATAGAAAAATAGACAGAACGATAGACAGACAGATAGATGATAAACAAAGCCACATACCAAGATCCTTTCTCCTTTTGTATTCGTTGATATTGACGTTGATCTCTTTAATGGACATCACTGCCTCGGCGAGCAGCTTCCTGTCGTGGTGTGACTCAGTAGTAGTGTTAAGCAGCTCCATCAGGAGCAAGGGGTAACGCATCACTCTCTGCACCGGCTTTATCAAGAAGGAACCCAGATTAATGTAATTTGTCTTTCCCCTGTGACAGAACAAAAGGGTGAGAGAGGGAGATAAAGTAAAAAAGAGATTTAGACGCTCATCAAGGTAACATTCTTCACCCTCCTCTGACAGCAGACTGGGGTCACTGAACACACACATTGTTTTCATCCATCAGTTATCCACCGGCTCACTGTCAACCACTTTAAAAAGGGTTACAGTAGACACAGTAGGCTACTAAGACATTCTAACAAAGAGTGCACACTTTCTGACTGATGGGATGAAAACAGAGGAGATCCAAATCCAGAGCTAAAGCACGATTTGGATGTTGCAGAACAGGATATTTTAAAACGAATGAATCTGGATTGAACATCATGTAGCAATTAGAGTATGTTTAAATTAAATTGTTTTAACCTTGGACAAATAACACTGCTGTTTTGTTGGTTTAATTGCTTCAAGTACCACATCATGAGCTCAGAGAGTGTGTTAATAACTGTTTCACATGCCACCACAAAGCATTAAATCAGTTGCCAGAACAAAAAATACAAAAACAGTTTAAAAAAATTAGCCAATTTTCCCACTGGGGTCATATTCTGACTCTAAAAATTGCTTTGCACAACTTGCAATCTTGTAGGGCTGGGTAAAAAAATTAAATCTCTTAATTGTGACCTTCATTTGAATGATTCATTTTTTTATACTTACAACCGAACAGCAGAGTCTGAATTACAAATAAAAGACTCTTATGAACCGGTTCTTTTGAGTGAATGAAAAACATACACTACTACCAATGTAGTTACATTTACAGAAAAAAAATTTGATTTACATTTATTCATTTAGCAGATGCTTTTATCCAAAGTGACTTAAAAATTTATAACACAACAAAGGATATATCATAAACACGAGTGCTCATAATACAAGGTTTCAGACTCAGTGGTAGAGCATTGCGTTAGCAGCGCAAAAGGCCGTGGGTTCCATTCCCAGGGAACACACATACTGGTAAAAAAATGTATCAGTATAAATGTTTACAATAAGAAACTAGTCAAGAAATGTGGTTGCCACAGGCAAAATGTGTTTAAGTTCAAATAAGATATAACACTAGAGGAGCAGGCCGGGAACGTTTGCAGAAACAGTGAAACCAACAAAGTGGTGAAACTAGGTGAGGCACATTCCTCTCCCGCTAATGCATTACTAATCCACAATAACAGAGATCTGAAAACTGAAAGACATAAAGCTTCACTGTTATGCAAATAGACTACCATTGAAAAGTTTAGGGTCGGTAAGATTTTTCAATGTTTTTAAAAGAAGTCTCTTATGCTCAGCAAGGCTGTATTTATTTGATCATAAACACAGTAAAACAGTAATATTGTGAAATATTACAATTTAAAACAATTGTTTTCATTATATTAAAAAAATTGATTCCTGTGATGGCAAAGCTGAATTTTCAGCAGCCATTATTCCAGTCTTTAGTGTCACATGAACCTTCAGAAATAATTCTCATATGCTGATTTGGTGCTCAATAATATTTCTTATTATTATTAATGTTGAAAAGAGTTGTGCTGCTTAGTATTTTTGTGGACACCATAATACATTTTTCAGGATACTTTGATCAGCAGAACGTTAAAAAAAATCATTTATTTGAAACGGTTCTTTCTTTTTTTGTAACAGCAAAAAAATAAAAAATTAATAAAATCATACTGACCCTAAACTTTTGAACAATAGTGTACTTTTATATAAAATAGGGAACATCCCATGTGGCACCTGGCATATTAATCAGGTTATATTATAATATCATAAGTAAAACCTCAGAACCAGACAATGAGAAGGGCAACGATGTTTCCTGTTTTGGAATGCCACACATGTCTTTAGTCATCCTGTGTCCAATCAGATGAGTCAAATTAGAAGTAAAAAAAATAGACAGGTTCCTCTAGATTTTGAGACACTAAGACTAACACGAGTAAGCCAGCACACCCTGTAGCATTGTTTCTGTTGATGATGTACTACTATAAAATTCCATCTACACCACACGACAGACAATCCCAGATACCATTAAAACTGACAGATCATGTGTAGCATTAAATAACGCACAATTAGTGTCCCACTTAACTTCTTCTCATACAGTTACACACTGTTAAACATCATGACTGGCATGCTTAACTGGATCTGGACATGCGTTGGTAGTGGTAACCACACCATGCAATGAGCTGAAGGTGTCTGATTCATGAAAAAAAGCAGTGAAAATTACCTGAGCTTCTCTAGACATTCCAATATGTGCTTCTGGATGTTCTCATCCTTTTCATAGGTCTCCAGTAAAGAGATGGCGTCGTCATGATTTTGGCAATAGATCTTGTAAACCTCCTCCAATTCACCTTTGTAGTCCAGGAAAACTTGCCCTGGATGAATAAAAAGGAACATGGTAAAACAGCAATATGGACACTGATCTGAATCTATAATGCGAGTTCAGGGATTTTTTTGCTCTAACCTATTGAGTCAGTATCCTGGAGGGTCTTGTAGAGTCGACGGGAAAGGTCAATTACAGAGTTGATGTTTCCAAAGAGACCATCAAAATCAATACTCTGGACCTATAGGACATGTGGATATTTAAGATTTGAATGGTTCTCATTACATAAATACATATTCAGGCTTGTTGAAGGTTTCTTGCCTGTTTCTTCTGCAGAGGTTGAATGATCTCCTTCACACACATCTGAAGATCCTTGATGTAGTCATGTTCTGTCTGCAGAAGCTCCTCAATGACCTTTGACCTTTTCTCCAGCATCCTTTGTTCGGGGTCTTCAGTGGTGGTTGCTGACGCCGGGGATGATTCTAGAGACTTAGGCTGGGACGCAAGCAGGGTCATCTCTAATGAGAGACAATGGAAAAGTGTGCTTGTCAACCACAAACAACTTTGCCTGACACGATAACTATTGTTTTTGATAAAACATGGTGTGAAAAACAACATTAGCATAAATAAAAAGTTGTTTATTGATATATAAAACAACTTTGCGGCTGCTGCAGTCAAACAAAATTCAGCAAATCAGTTACTACTCGGCGAAAACTGGCAAATAATTATTCATAAGCCGATGGACACATTTTAAAATGTGTCCATCGCACTTTTCAGATCATTCCTTTACCTCTAGATAAAACAACAGAATGACAGATATAATGAGATATATATATATATATATATATATATATATATATAGAATGATAGATAGTTAGGTAGAATGATGGACAGAATTATATATATATATATATATATATATATATATATATATATATATATATATATATAGAATGATAGATAGTTAGGTAGAATGATGGACAGAATGACAGATATGACAGTGCAAGAGATATACCGATAGATAGAATAATACATAGAATAATAGAGAGAGAGATAGACAAGGAATGAAAGATATAGACAGAAAGAACAATATATAGAGCAAGAGAAATTGACAGACTAAAAGAACGAACGAAAGAAAGAACGAACAAACAACAGATGGATGGATGGATGAACAAACAAAAGAGATAGGCAGACAGATAGATGGATAGATAGATAAAGACAGAATGATACATTAACAGACAAACTGACAGAACATATGACAAAACAACCAAATAAATGAAAGATAGAATGAACGAACAAACGACAGATAGAATGAACAAACTAATGAACAATAGAACTAACAAACGAACGAATAGAATGATAGAACGATAGAGAGATAGATAGATAGATAGATAGAGCGACAGAATGACAGACAGAACAACAGAAAAATAGAATGATAGATAGATGGATAGATGGATGGATGGATGGATGGAATGATAGAACGATAGATAGACAGACAGATAGATAGATAGATAGATAGA